GAGGGAGCAGATTGATCATGGTTCCTGGAGCTGGTCGGAGAAATGGCTGAGAGGCGCTGTCTGGACCCTTCTGGGTTTGTTTATGTCTCCTTGGGGGAGGGTGGGGGAGGGGCTGCAGGCAGCAGCTGCCCCCCTCCCAACTCAGCCGGCCTGCCCTGTGCCAGGAGGGCAGGGAGTCCTGGCACAGCTATTGTTCGCCTGCACAAATGCCCGTCTGTTTGCATCACTGCCCCCCTCCATCTCTGCTTGTCTTTCTCTCCTGACCTGACAGGTGTGGCCTGGTGGGGGGGCGGGCTGGGGCTCAGGATGCCTGAGTCTCACGGTTTCCAGCCCAACTTTATTCCCTATGGCCCTCAGCACCCCTCTTCTGCTCCACTCGTGTGCCCACGCCCACCGTCCGGTATCTCATCTTCATTCATCAAGCGAGTGTTTATTAAGTGCCTTTGTGTGTTCAGCGATGTCTTTTTGTGTTAGGTTTCTGGCTTTGGTGTTAACGTTTCTGTTTGGCCGCCTTCTCCTCAGCCTCCTGCCTTCATCTTATCCATGGAAGCTCATAAAGGAAGCAAAGCCTGGCTGAGACCACCCCAAGCCCTCTTCTCAGTCCCATGTCCAGGAACCCCTTCTCTCATTTCCCAGCCCTAGAACCCATCCCTCAGGACTCATGGCCCTTTGCAGCCTATGACTCTGAACCCCTGCTGTCCAGGGTCTAAGCCACAGATGACTTGAAACCTAGTAGAACCTTCCAGGGACCTTCTGGCCACCAAGCACAGCCTGGACAGAGACTGTACCACCTTGGGGAGGAGGCTGCTGCCTGTTGCCCAGGTGCAGAGGTCATCCTCAGCATCATGTGACTTCTCCAGAGGTCTTGGTTTGGACATACCTGATGGAGGAACAAGGATACTGAGAGCTTAGGCTCTGTTTGGAGAGGCCCTCTCTCCTCTGGGTCAGCTCCGCCACCCTCTGCTGCCCGCTTGGGAACACAGGAAGCCAAAGTCCAGGCTTTGGCATTCCTTGGCCTTTGCGTATGTCACTGTTTTCCTCATCTCTCGGCACAGAGGAAGGGGAGACTGCGTCTGTGTTTGAGCCAGCAGCCTCAATGCCCTCTGCCATTTGCCTAGTCTTTCTTTCTCCAAAATGACCAAAGTCTGGGGTGACAGTGGAAAGGAAAGTCTTCTCCTGACTTTCAGAGGATACCATCTGAGCCTAAATTCAAAGGAATTAGGAGTGAAGTTCCGGGAGGAGGGAGGGAAGAATAACAGGAGAGGAGGAGACCAGAGTTCCCTGGTGGCCCAGTGGTTAAGACTGCACGCTTCCAGGGCACAGGGTGCAGGTTCAATTCCTGGTCAGGGAACTAAGATTTCGCAAGTGCATGACTCAGCCAAAGAGAGAGAAAGAGAGGAGGCGGAAGGGGAGACTGAAAGCTCCAAAGCTGTGATAAAGAATGAGGGGATTCCTAGAGCAGGGGTGAGGGTGCTGCTAGGACCCCTTGTCCTGGTGTCTGGCCATCCATCCATCCTTTACTTCCTTTCTTTGCTAACACATGTTGAGTGCCTGTTATGTTCCAGCCGTTGTTCTTGTGCTTTCCCATGCTTTATTCATTTCGTCCTTGATGCAGCAGTGGTGGAGATGCAGGCTGTGTAGCAAGGCTTTCTGTGAGGGTTTTAAGAAAGCAGGAGTCTGGACACTGGACAGTAGAGGGCTGAAGCAAGCAGGAAGGGCCTCTGAGGCTGCGAGTGGGTGTTGTGGGCTGGGGGGTGATGGGCCCTTTTCTTGGTGGCCAGATGGGGTCATGAGGTGAAGGGCTATCCTGCTGGCTGGTGGGCAGGCAGGTAACAGGGGTGATCTTAAGAATACTTGGAAAGAGTAGGACAGAGAAGCACACACGGCCCTCACCCTGGAGCAGGCAGCCCCGGGGTGCCGGCCCTCTGTCCTCCTTGGGGAGGGTGCAGACTGCCTCCAGGACAATAGCACTAGGCAGTGCCAGGGCCGCTCGCTGCTGGGCAGCGTCTGTGTTGGGATGTGCTGCTGCTGTGGCTGCTGCCCGCTGCTGGCCCACCTAGACAGAGGGTCCCTTGGAGAGCGGGTGAGTGTTGAGAGGTGGAGGAGGCTGGGCCCTTGTAGCCAGAGAGGGGAGGTCCACAGGAGACCCTGTCCTCTGGCTGCCGCAGCCCTCTCGCCCTCTTTCCCCGCCTCTTTCCCCGGTGAGTGCTCCTGGAGGCCTCAGGGTGGAAGGCAGAGGGCAGAGGTCGGGGGAGGAGAGGGGGCTGCTGTTGTGGCAGCACTACAGCAGATCTGCAGGACTGCCCATTTTGGAGTTGACTCTGATTCAGACATGTCACTTTTTGTAAAAAATATAGTTGATTTACCATATTATATTAGTTTTAGTATTTTTACAGATTATATATGCTCCATTAAAGTTATTACAAGATAATTGCTATAACTCCCTGTGCTATACAATACATCCTCGCTTCTTATCCGTTTGTTTTTGTGTTTGTTTTTTTGGTCATGCTGTGTGGATTTTAGTTCCCCAACCAGGGACTGAACCCTCAGCAATGAAATTGCAGAATTGTAACTACTGGACAGCAGGGAATTCCCTGCTTATCTATTTTATACACAGTAGTTTGTATCTCTTAATCCCATACCCCTAATTTTCCCCTCCCCATGTTGCTCTTTTTAACATGGTCATGGAGTTTTGTTTGCTTACTTTTAATTCAAACATAACACTTCCTCAGACTTCTCTGTTTGTGTCGTGGAGAAGGTTGGGAGGGAAGGCGAGGAGAAGAGAAGGCAGCGTGTAGGGCAGTGAGCTGTCTGGACTTGGACTTTGAGGTTCTATGGTGGTGGTGGTGGTTTAGTCACTAAGTCTTGTCTTAGCAACCCCATGGACTATGGCCTCACAGGCTCCTCTGTCCAGGGGATTTCCCAGGCAAGAATACTGGAGTGGGTTGCCATTTCCTTCTCCAGGGGATCTTCCCAACCCAGGGATTGAACCTGGGTCTCGTGCATTGCAGGCAGACTCTTTACCGACTGAGCTATGAGGGGAGTCTCCCAGGCTCTATAAGGCCATTTTACTCAGAGGAGGATTAGATTTCCTAAAGAGCTATAATTTGGAGCTGGGCATATGGCGGTTAGACCAAAGAGAGAATTTTCTAGTGGTCCAGATAGGTAGGTACCATAATAGAAAAAGGGAGGTTAGAGGGAGAGGTTGGTGAGCTCCCCTGACGAGGCCTAGGAGGGGGGGAGGGCGAGGCCAAGGGCAGCCGAGGAGAAGCAGAGTGGGGAAGGGGTGGGAGGCCAGGGGGTGGGAAGGAGAGGGTGTTAGAGGGAGAACGGGAGGCTGGCAGGGGAGGAGAAAGGGAAAGTGGGTGATTGGTGGGGGGTGACCTCAAGACCTCTAGGCTCTGCTCACTATCAGACACACCTGGGACTTCTGAGGGTCGGCGGGAGAGAGAGGGATCCTGGGGCACCAGGAAGCCCTGAGACCCTCGGGCACCACGGTCCAGTGCCCTCTGGCCCCCGTGCTGTTGACTCATCCTGTCCCTCCACACTTCCCTTTTCCATCCTCACCCCTGGCCAGTGCGTCTCTTCCCCTCCCCTACCTCCTCACTGCTAGAGTGACTTCAGCTGAGAGTCAGGACTCCGCCCCCCACCCCCAAGTCCAGACTGCGGCTTCTTCTCTGAGTTTTGATTGGCTGTCCCAGGGCCCCAGACAGCATCATCTGACTTGGGGCTCATTACCCTCGGCCATCAAGATCTCACTCTTTGGTTTCTAAGAGAGGCAGGGAAGCCTTGCAAGGAGTGGCCTTGTCATCTCTGCTTGCTGCTCTCAGTTCTCTAAGTGGAGGGAAAATCCAGGGATCTGAGGTGACCACTGAGGAGGATCCTGGAATGGGTGTAAAGCACAGTGTCCCATCTTCTCATCTCCTCAGGTTCAGGAAAAGCTCAGGGGCCTTGAGGAAGGACAGAAAGGGATCAGGGAGAAGGACTTGACCTGCAGAGGTGGGTGTCGGGGGGGTGAAGCAGGAGATGAGAAAGCTGGTGAGAAATGCCTGCTTCTGAGGTTCTGCAGAGAGCCCAGAGAGTGCCCCATCTCGACAGAGCAGAGCAGGAGGAACTGACGCTGCAGCTGGGATGGAGGGCGGATGCCAGAAAGGACTTCCTAGACTAACTGGGTGAGGAGGAAGAAGGGAGTGATCCTAGGATTTGGAGGGGAGTGTGAGAAGGATAAAAGTTAAACTGCAGAAGAGACTTCCTGCCAGGAATGAGACCTTGATGGCCAAGTTTCCTTTCTTAAAGATCCCAGAGAGGACAAGTGAAGAGACTGAAACAGGCTCCTCCTCCTTGAGGTTAGCAGGGGACATGCTGCCTCCCGCAGAGGCCCTGTGTCCCTGGGCTGAGCAGACGGGGAGGCCTCTGAGGTTTGGGATCCTGACCTCCTGTTGAGGGGGACAGCGGCGGCATCCTGCCCCCTTCAGCCAATCTGATCAGGGGATCTCCTGCCCCCCTACTGTGACTGCCACTGCCACGGAGACAGTGGCGCCACCACCGGTTGTCATGGTTATAAGAGGAGCTCACTCCCATAGATTTGAAAGCGCTGGTGAGCTGGCACCTTCTGCTTTGCCTGCTCTCCCCTCCTCTCTGCGCATCTTCCCCCGGCACAGAGAAGAGAGTACAGCAGCTTGGGGGCGAGCAGAGCTAGAGCCGGGAGGTGGAGTGAGGACGCGGAGGTCTAGAGCCGTGGAGATGAGCGGCAACAGGAGGCAACCCAGCCGCAGGGGCCAGGTAGGTCAGGGGCCGGCTCGGCCCTTGGGGATGGCCAGTCATTCCTGGACAGCTACCCCTGACACGCCGCGGCAGGCTCTGCCTCAGGAAGTGGTGTGTTTCTGGCAACCCCAGGAAGGTGTTGCTCACTCACCTCTGCCCTCGCCTGCCTCTCTGGACTTCTCAGGCACCCTGGCATCCTCCAGCCTCACTTCCTGTCTCTCTCGCCCCTTCTGCAGACCCGGGAAAAGGAGAAGATGAAGGAAGCCAAGGACGCCCGCTACACCAATGGGCACCTCTTCACCACCATCTCCGTTTCGGGCATGACCATGTGCTATGCCTGTAACAAGAGCATCACAGCCAAGGAAGCCCTCATCTGTCCAAGTAAGTTCTTTGGACCCTGAATGTCACTGTGCCTCAGTGCCCTCTGACCCTGATCCTTCTGTCTGTCCTTTCTACCCTGGATCCATAAGGCTCACTCTCTCTGAGCCCCAAATGCTAGGGCTGGATGCTGGATCCCTTTCTCCCTTTCCTTACGTCTAGGAGTAGTGGCGGTCAGAATATGGCAAGAGCAGGACTCGGGGGGAATGTGAGAGGGAAGGCCAGGGTGGCTCTCCTTGCAGCTGTCATCCACTGGGTCTCCCTCAGCTCCCCGAACAGCTGCTGTGGGTCAGAGAACTGATTGGAGAAGGAACAGGAATGTTGTGTGTCTGGGGAGGGGGGTGGATGGGGAACTGGATGGGAGGCTGCCAGCCTTGCAGCTGCTCTGCCGATCTTCCTGGGCCAAACTGGGTGTTCAGGACTTCAGAGTCCCCTTGCCCCCTACATTTCTGTTGAGTGGGTGGAGGCTGAAATCTCTAAATCTCTGAAGGCTTAGGGATAAGAACACCCATCTCAAATTTCTAGCCCGGCTGATATGTAGTGAGAAAGAGAGGATATGGCAGCAATGTGTATATTGAGGGAATAGTGGTTAGAACTCCTGACCTTCAGCCACATCTCAGGATAGCCCTGTATTAAGTACAAGCCGAGATTTCTTCCTTCCCCAAAATGCCTATACAGAGGGCTCCCATGCTGACCACCCATCCACCCCCAGATTGATGGCAAAGAGCTGCTTCTGATTTGAGCAGGATGAGACGTGTTGGGGCCCACTGCGGAACAGAGGAGCAAAAGCTTTAGCTTCTAAATCTCTGTGGAACCTGGCAGGGAACCCCAGACAGAACCAGTGAGGCCTCCCTCCTTCTTCACTGTTCAACTTGAGTTTATGAGGGTGAGGAGGGAACCCCAATCTAGATCCCTCTAGAGACCTGACAAAATTCCCAATCTGGAAGCTCGTTGCCAGGGGAACTGGGGAGGCGGGCAGCAAGCGCTATTTTGAGAGCAGGTGGAAAGCGGAGGTTCGATCCAGAGACACTGGGTGCTGGAAGGTAGAGGAGAGCTCCAGTGGGGTGGGCGCAGCCCCCAGCCCCCACTTCTGTCTGCCCCTCTGCCCCACCCTGCTCGCCTTGTATTTGTGGAAGTAAGCCTGATGCTGGGTATTGTCTGAAGGAGTTAGCAGAGTTTCCGGTGTTGTTGGACGGGGGAGGGGAAGCTGGAGCCAGCCAAGGGCTGAGGGCACATCGGGGAGAGGGACAGGACAGCCGGTAGTCCCAGCGCCCAGGCATGGCTACCCCCCTCTCCTCTCCTCTCCTATCCCACGGCAAGGTGGGGTGGGTGATGAGGGAGAAGCAGATGGAGTGTGGGAGCTGTGGGTTTGCCTTACTTGGAGAACAAGACTCCCCGGGCCCGGAAGGGAGACTGGAGTCATAGCAAGCATAGCTGAGCAGTACAGAAGGCAGGCAGGTGTGGCCGGCAGGGGCAAGGCATGGTCAGTCCCCACTCTGCTGCTGCATCCATCAGCCTCTGCATTGCTTAGGCCTAGCCAGGGTTCACGGGCAGACACGTGGCTCCACGGGTAGAGCCCAGACACCCCTGAGTTAAACCCCAGCTCTGCCAAGTGACCTCTGGCAAATGATTTAAGCTCTCCAGGAGACAGGTTCCTCATCTGTCCGGTGAGGATCGTTGCGTCTGCCAGGATCCACTAGATGTGGCACGTTCCCTCCTGCCCGGGGGATGTTCACCCCTGCTGCCCCTAGCCCCCATCCCAGCTGCTCCTATACCACCTTCTGCTCCGTGGGCGTCCTTTCTGCCATCTGTCATTCTCAACCACCTTTGTGCCTCTTGAGCTCATCTCTGGCAGCCAGTAAGCCCTTCTTCCCTATAGTCCACTTCACAGGTCACCTTTGATTCAGGATTGTCCCCCTCCTGTGGCTTAATTGTGGTCCACACCTATCCCCCCTCCCTTCATCTCCTGCTTGAAGGAAGGGGGAGGTGGGAGGAGAGGGACTGGGATGTGGTTTGGGGAGGGGGCGAGTCTCTGGCGGCATGGCCAAGGGGACATGGGTGTCTGCATGTGGGTGTCCTGTCCTGCACCACCCGGCCCTCCCGTCACCCTCTCTACCCCACCCTCCCAGCCTGCAATGTGACTATCCACAACCGCTGTAAAGACACCCTGGCCAACTGTACCAAGGTCAAGCAGAAGGTGAGCTGGCAGGGAGGGCAGAGGGCGGGGGGAGAGGGTAGTGAGTGTGTGGTACCCTCACGCCTATTCCGTTCATCCTTCACCCTGTGTTCCTCAACCCGTCTCCTCACCACGGGGCAGCCCAGACCCTCCGCCCTAGGCCTCAGGCCCCCCCAGAGGGGGCCAGCCTGTTGCTCTAGCTACATCCCCTTGGCACCAGGTTCAGCCAGCCTGATGCCCTTAGCCATCGAGCCAGCTTTCTCCCAAGGGGGCCAGCCACCCAGCTCCTGTCCTGGGCCTACAGAGGTGACCCTTGGGTGACAGCTGTTCTTGGTGTCTCTCTTGCTCTCTGTCTCCCAGCAACAGAAAGCTGCCCTGCTGAAGAACAACACTGCCTTGCAGTCCGTCTCACTTCGCAGTAAGAGTGAGTAGTGAGGGTGCAGGAGCCGCTGTAGGACCCTGGACCCCCAGGCCTCTCGGCCCATGGGCTCTGCTGCGCCCCTGAGGTCGTCCCCTGGCACAGCACCTTCCTCCCTTCAATTGGAAGCTGATGGCAGGGCCACAAGGGAGATCTAGACCTGTGGGCCTGGGGGCAGAACAGCAGAATTCAAATGAGGTTGAAGGCTTGGGATGACTGGTCATCTGAGTCTGCTCACACTTTATATTATTATGATTAGCTATTTACATGGCACTTGGGGATGTTGGCAGAAGTTGTTAAGGGCCAATTCAGAAAGATTTGGTGTGACAGAAAGAGTGGGGTGCTTAGTCAGGAAGACTAGAGTGAGTCTGTGCTCAGCCACCAGCTGAGTCACCCCAGACAAGTCTTTTCACCATCCTGAGCTGCAGTTTGCTTATAGGCTTGTGGCGGGGAAGAGATAAGAAAAGCTCTTTGTAACCATTAAAAGTATTGCACAAGTGTATGGGTAGCATTATTATCCTTTCTCTGACTAGAACTGGGCTAAAGGTGGGGTGGGAGAGGAGACCTTCCTTCTAATCAAGGAGCCTGGGAGGCTTGAATCCTGGGAAGGCAGCAGGTTTGAGGCTTGCTTGCTTGGTATCCCCTCCGACAGCTACCACTCGGGAGAGGCCCAGCTCAGCCATCTACCCCTCCGACATCCGGCAGTCCCTGCTCGGCTCCCGCCGTGGCCGCTCCTCGTTGTCTTTAGCCAAAAGCGTCTCCACCACCAACATTGCTGGGTGAGCCTCTACTTGGGGACATGAGAACCAGGCAGGCAGAGTGAGGCGGTGGAGACAGGTGGGAGGGAGGGGCTGAGAGATCCTTCCCGTCCCTGAGTTCAGAATGATAGGCAGGTAAGGAGAACCTGGGGTGACTGCCTCTGGGATCCCGTCTTGGTTCCCCCACCTGGGAAGGGATCTCTCGCCCGAGTCAGTCGGGTGATGCAGCCAGGCTCCATTCCCCTCAGACACTTCAATGATGAGTCTCCGCTGGGGCTGCGCCGGATCCTCTCACAGTCCACGGACTCCCTCAACATGCGGAACCGGACACTGTCGGTGGAGTCCCTCATCGACGAAGGTGACCGTGCCTGGACCTGGGGGGGACCCAGGCGTGAGGGGCGGGTGGGAGCTGGCCTGGGAAAGGCAGGGTGGAAAGGGATCCGGGGAAGGGCCCAGGACCTAGGGAAGAGATTTGGGGTCCGAGTCGTTTCCCCCACTTGCATCCAGGTGCTGAGGTGATCTACAACGAGCTGATGAGTGACTTTGAGATGGATGAGAAGGACTTTGCAGCTGATTCCTGGAGCCTTGCGGTGGATAGCAGCTTCTTGCAGCAGCATAAGAAGGAGGTGATGAAGCAGCAGGATGTCATCTATGGTGAGCCAGGAAGACCACCCTTGACTTCTCTTTTGTCACCAGTCCTGTTTCTCTGTGTCCTTCCTCTGCCAGCCCCTACCTCTCAAGACACTTCCCTCTTATCCCATTGGCCTTCAAGACCCTGCCAGGGATCCCATAAGTAGCTACAAGGTCCCCACTTTTTGGGGCTGTTGACCTCTAAGGCCCTTCTTAATCCGTTCTTTCCAATCAATTCTTAGTCTTTCCTCTCTGCCCATTCCATGCGCAACTCTGTGCTGGGGACTGTGAGAAGTCTAGACATGTAGGGAACACATAGTTGTTGCCTTTATGCCTTGAGATGGCAAGGCATAAAGATAAAAGATTAGAAAAATGAGCTAAGATCATCATAATAATGCAGAATATTAGCCTGGAAGGGAAACTGAAAACCTCTAATGAGCCTGAGGTCTCCAGCCTCGGCCCCACCAGTTGTGGCCAAGCCGGGTATTCCACCGTCCCCACAGAGCTGATCCAGACAGAGCTACACCACGTGCGGACACTGAAGATCATGACCCGCCTCTTCCGCACGGGCATGCTGGAAGAGCTGCAGCTGGAGCCGGCAGTGGTCCAGGGCCTGTTCCCCTGTGTGGACGAGCTCACTGACATCCACACACGCTTCCTCAGCCAACTGCTGGATCGCCGGCGCCAGGCCCTGTGCCCCGGCAGCACCCGGAACTTCGTCATCCATCGCTTGGGGGACCTACTCATCAGCCAGGTGAGAAAAGCCAGGACCCCTGGGCAGCAGTCCTGGGCGGGGGTGTGACTAGAGTGGGCATTTCTCATCGCCAGACTCTGGGGGTTGGGGCAGAGAGAGCTGGAGAGGCAGGAAGCCAGCCTGTTTGTCAGGCGGCGAGAGGGCACTGGGGATGATATGTAACTTTGGGGGACATGCTGACCCAGCCTTGCTCCCCCAACTTCTAGTTCTCAGGTCCCAGTGCAGAGCAGATGCGGAAGACCTACTCAGAATTCTGTAGCCGCCACACCAAGGCCTTAAAACTCTATAAGGAGCTGTATGCCCGAGACAAACGCTTCCAGCAGTTCATCCGGGTGAGCAGACCTCTCCAAGACCCGCCCTCCGCCTCCTCTAGTGCCCCAGCCCTAGTGGACCCAGCTGCCCGTGTTTCCGTCTGTAGCCCCTCGGAGTGGTAGAGCGAGTGCTTTCACTCCTTGGGTCCTCACAGTAAACCTGTGACCTTGTCAGCCCCGTTTTCCAGAGACATTAACCTACGCCAGCCGGCATGAGGTAAATGACCAAGTGCAGGCCGGCACCAGGGCTTAGGCTCCAAGTCCGGCGTCCTTTCTGTTGCCCTCCCCTCGGGTCCCCCTCTGGCCCTGAGCCCTGACTCTTGCTTTGTAGAAAGTGACCCGCTCGGCGGTGCTGAAGCGGCATGGGGTGCAAGAGTGCATTCTGCTAGTGACTCAGCGCATCACCAAGTACCCGGTGCTCATCAACCGCATCCTGCAGCATTCCCACGGTGAGAGGGCAAGCCTGGGAGGGAGGAGGACTCGAGAGGGCTGTCAGGGGTGAGGAAGACCCTGGACAACCACCGGGAGGAAGAGGGTCGGACATGGAAGCCTGGGCAGCCTCTGAAGGCGGGATTGAGATCAGTGGGATGGGGGCTGGTGTGAAGCCAGCTGGGCTAGCTGGGCCACCCCTTCCTCACGCCGACCTCGGTGTCAGGGATGGAGGAGGAGCGCCAGGACCTGACCACGGCCCTGGGGCTGGTGAAGGAGCTGCTGTCCAACGTAGATCAGGATGTGCACGAGCTGGAGAAAGGGGCCCGCCTGCAGGAGATCTACAACCGCATGGACCCTCGGGCCCAGGCCCCGGTTCCTGGCAAGGGCCCCTTTGGCCGAGAGGAGCTCCTGCGGCGCAAGCTCATCCACGATGGTTGCCTGCTCTGGAAGACGGCGACCGGACGCTTCAAAGGTCAGTGGACAGCTTGGCAGACCGGGCGAGAGTCCATGGCCAGATATAAAGAGGGAGAAGCCTCCGAGCCCGGAGGACCTCTTCTAATGTAGCCCGAGACCCCCGGGTGAGACCCAGTGGGAGGAAAATATGTGAGCTCTGTTGTAGCAAAAGTCAGAATTCTGGATTTAACTTCATGGGCGACACAAAAACTTCGTTGTCAGGATTTGTTCATTCCTTTAGTCCTTGTGTGCCCAGAAAGCTACCGATCTTGATGAGAAAAACAGAGACATTCCAGGCCTGGAGGACTAGATCCGGGTAGTTGGTTCTAGCAGCTGGCGTCCCAGCCACTAGGGCTGGGGAATGGGCAGGCACTTTGGGAGCACGGGAGGAAGGCCCTTGGAGGGGGCGGAGCCCAGGGAAGGGCGGGCCAAGTGGAGCAGAGAAAAGACTGCCGGGAAGGTGTGTTGGGGCGGGGCACGCTGTCCCAGCCTCTCTTCCCGGACTGTGCTGGCCGAGGCTCGCCTACCTAAATCAAAGCAGAAGAGTCGCAGACCTCAGCTTTAGGTGTGAGGAGTGCTGCCTGAGGCCAGAGTTCGCCTGCACCTCTGTCCCGTGTCATGAAGTCCCCACTCCATAGGCTTGAGTATTGCAGGCTTTGCCAGCCCCTTTCCTCCATCCCTTTCTCTCCTTCCCATCCCTCCCACGCAGCAGCTAAGAATATAAACCATGGGGGGGTTAAAAATAGCAAGGCTGAAGAGCTTTATTTCTGAAACCTTTAGCAAAAGCCCTACCCTTCTGTGTGCCCACAACTTAGAAGGATCTCCAAGGGCAGAGGATGCATATGTGTTTTCTTGCCTGTGACATCTGACTTTCACGGGTTGACCTTTGTCTCCCCCAAGTCTTAAAGCACAGGACCCTGTAGAATGTGAGAGCCTGGAAGGTGGGGCAGAAAAGGCAAATGAAAGCAGGGCCTGCTTTTGTTGAAGGAGATTGGGATTGTTCAATGGTGGGAGAAATGAATAAGGAACCCAACTGTTCCCCTCCCCATGGAGCACAAAATAAGAAGTGGGGAATATGCTGGGGTGGGGAGACTCTTAGACCAAATATCCAAAAAGATCTTATGGTAGTTAGTTGTTCAACATGAAACTGAAAGGCTCTGGGAATCGTTTTCCCTCACAAGAATTCTGGACCCTTTCACACAGAAAAGCACACATGTGGTAGATTAATATGTAAAAATTGCTTATGGAACTTCAGAGGATCTACAGAGCTTCTGAAACCTGATAGCAGACACCCTAGGTGTCTGCAGACCACAGGTTAAGGAACCTGCATCCATTGGATAAAGAGGCTTTTACTCAAGGCCACTGGGTGATGCTTTATAGGCATCTCTAGCCCAAGAAACTGTTTTATCTAATGACACATGCCTTCCCCCCCACCCCCCACCATTTCTGAGCTGTAAGCATGGGGAGAGGCGGGAGGTCTGCAAAGGTGGAGGAAGCAACCAGAGGGAGAGAGGCTGGGGAAAGGGAAACAGCTGCTCGTATCCTCCAATGCTGACTCTTCTCCTCCCTTCATCCTCCTGCCAGATGTGCTCATGCTGCTGATGACAGATGTGCTGGTGTTTCTCCAAGAGAAGGACCAGAAGTACATCTTTCCTGTCCTGGTGAGACCTTCCACCTTCTTCTTTCTCAGCACAGACAGGTGTTTCAGACCCTTCTTACTTTCCTACCCCGGCCAGGAAATCCTCCAAGATCAAATAGCTATTATTGTAATCGTTACTGTAATATAATCAGGAAAAATAAGAAGAGCCAACACCTATAAATATGATCAGATCAGAAGAAATAAAAAGAGCCAATGCATATTGTTACTATATGCAGTGACTTTTTTTATACACATGTCAGGAAGGCACATGATTATCCTCTTTTTGTAGATGAGAAAAGTAAAGCTTAAAGTTAATTAAATTGTCAAGGGTCACAAACATTCCTAAGTCCACTCTGGCTGGCACCAGAGCCTGGACTCTTAACTTGTATTCTCAGCGGACTCTTCAGTCCTTTGGGTACTCCAGAAGGACTAAAGACTCAAATATTCAGGGGTCAGGATTCCCAGCTTTAATCCTTCCCGTGCCCCAATTGGCAGGACAAGCCCTCGGTGGTGTCACTGCAGAATCTCATCGTCCGGGACATCGCCAACCAGGAGAAAGGGATGTTTCTGATCAGTGCGGCACCCCCGGAGATGTACGAGGTCCACACGGCATCCCGGGATGACCGGAGCACCTGGATCCGCGTCATTCAGCAGAGTGTGCGAGTGTGAGTGTGTGCATGGACTTGTGGTTCCTGCAGTCTGGGGCCCCGGACCACGGCACTCCCAGGGAACAAAACCCAGGGTTCAGAAGTGGAAGGAGAGGCCAGGAGAGAGACAAGATGGCCCAGGGCAGGCAGGGTCATCTATGCTCTCTTGCCCAGTATACAGTGACGACCCCAACCGCCTTCTGAGTGCACCTTGAGCTGACAAGCCAGAGGAATACTTTAAGTTGGTGCGTGCCGGCATGCCTACCAACCAGCAGTACAGTTTCACCTCCATTAACATCTTAGTCTGTAGGCAGTGGGCCGTTATTTGGATTGTATTGTCTTTTACCTTCATTTTCTAAAAATGAATGAAAAAGAGAATAATGAAAAAAAGAAAAAGAGGATAATGAAAGCATTGATGCTAGTGATCAAAGGAATAAGACTCAAACTCCATACGATAGAGGCTAGCAAGAAATCATTTTGTGTGCTAAAGCAGCAAATCTTTGGCTTCTGTTGGACACACATCAGATTGAGTATGTGTCTGTTGTGATAAAAAAAAGTCAAGGGGCTTCCTTGGTGGCTCAGATGAAGAGCTGCCTTCAATACTGAAAAAAAGTAAAGTGCATGTAAAATGTTGAAAATGGATTCTCAGGCTTCCCTGGTAGCTCAGTGGTAAAGAATCCTCCTGCCAATGCAGGAGACACAGGTTCAATCCCTGATCTGGGAAGATCCCACATGCCTTGGAGCAGCTAACCCCGAGCACCACAACTATTGAGTCTGTGCTCTAAAGCCCAGGAACTGCAACTATTGAGACCACGTGCTGCAACTACTGAAGCCTGACGCCCTAGAGCCCATGCTCCACAGTAGCAAAAGCCACCACAGTGAGAAGCCTGTACACCGTGACTAGGGAATAGCCCCCGCTTGCCACACCTAGAGAAAAAGCCTGTGCAGCAGCGAAGACCCATCACAGCCAAAAACAAATAAATAAAACTTGAAAAAAGAAAAGAAAGTTCATTCTCAAGAATAATGCCTGAAAAATAAACTCAATTAGGATGTTTATGATTTTTTTTTCTTTTACTTTTCATGGAATGCATTCTTCTCTACTTTATAATATATAAACCTATATATATATATATATTTTCACTTCTGCAATTTAGACTTTTGAACAAATTTTTCAGAAATTTGTGCAAAAATATGAAATTACCTGTTCTGGGAAAACAAGACCAAAGTTCCTATCTCATTGACAGTAGATCTATAGTGGCCTTTTTATTAATAATGTTAATATTTGTAGTTGTGAAAACATTATGATAATTGTTTTATTGAGCTTATGCCATGTTCAAAGCACTAGTACATTATTTCATTTAATCCTCACACAAAAAACAAACTGTGAGGAAGATATCATCCCTGTTTCTCATATGAAGAAATAGAGAGGTTACCACCAGGTAAATTGTGGAGCCAGAATCAGTCCAGTGTACTTAATGCCAAAACCTGTAGTCCTTCTGCCTCTCTGGGTGACGTTCAGAGAGGTACTGGCCAGTAGATTCAGGTCATCAGTGTTAGGAAAAGGAGAGGGTCAAGAGTGGATGAAGCCAGGGTGTGGAGCTGATGAAGTCTTATCAGGGAAGTATAGAGCACGTCTGGGAAGGAGGGAAGGCAGATTCCTGGTGTGTAACCTAGCTTCCTTCCCCAAACCCCACCCAACCTGTGATCCCTCCAGATGCCCATCCAGGGAGGACTTCCCCCTGATTGAGACAGAGGATGAGGCTTACCTCCGGCGTATCAAGAGTAAGTCCAGGGGAGTTTGGGGGAGAATGGATGCATGTATACGTATGGCTGAGTCCCTTAGCGGTCTATCTGAAACTATCACAGCATTGTTAATCGGCTAAATTCCAATACCAAATAAAAAGTTTAATAAAAAAAAATACATGACATTTTCAAAAAACAAACAAAAAACAATAAGTCTACCCACAGAGCTTGTTTAAATAATTTATCAATATGATATATCCACACAGGGGAATACTATCTTAAAATGAGGTGGCTGTATGAGGGCTGATATAGATCCACAACCAAAACATGTAGTTAAGTGAGAAGAGCAAGGTTTAAAACACTGTGAAGTATATGCTGTCACTAGTGTGAAAATATTGGGGATAGATATGTGCCGTGTGTTTTGTGTATATGTGTGGAGTATCTCTAGGAGGATATTATTACTATGGTTTCTCTGGGAAGGGAAACTAGGAATAACTGGGTTAGGATACTGACTTTTTTACCAGAGATCCATATGTTAATTGGGGGTATGATCCAACTGCTATACAAAAAATCAACAAAAACCCATTGGTCACATGAGGTAGTTTATTTCTCTCTATGTAACAGTCCAAAAGCGGGAAGTGCAGGGCGGTACTGCGGCTCTGCCCTCTTTGTCATGAAGATTCCCCATCTCTATGTCCACATCATTCCTCCAGCTTCCACTCTCACATCTGCATCCCAGCTGGCAAGGAGGGGTCGGGGACAAGGAGAGTTTATACTCATTTCTTTTAAGGCCGGATCAGGAAGACATTCCCATCCATTGGTCAGAATTTAGTCATGTGGCAATGCCTAACTGCAAGGCAGGTTGGGAAATGGCGTGTAACTGGGCAGCCACATGCCCAGATGAAACTTGCACACCTTCACTAATTAAAGAAAAGTGGGGAGATGAAAACTGGTGGACAGCCTGCAGTCCCTGCCACACATTGTTTTACTTTCATTTTGAAAACAACAGTGCATGTGTTCCTCCCTCCCCCACAAAAGTTCTTTTCTTTTGCATAAATGCCAAAAAAAACCCCAAAATGCAGTCCTGCCGCTCTGCCCATACCTGGCTCCTCATCCCTGGGGCTGCCCCTCCACTATTAGTGGCTCTTCCGGGTGCTCACCTGTTTCTTATCCACAGTGGAGCTGCAGCAGAAAGACCGGGCGCTGGTGGAGCTGCTGCAGGAGAAGGTTGGGCTATTTGCCGAGATGACCCACTTCCAGGTGGAAGAGGATGGCGGCAGCGGGGTGCCCCTGCCCACCCTGCCCAGGGGCCTCTTCCGCTCTGAGTCCCTTGAATCCCCTCGTGGTGAGCGGCTACTGCAGGACGCCATCCGTGAAGGTGAGGGAGCTTCTGGGGAAGAATCTGGACTCACCTCTTCACCATCACACAGCAGGGACACGTGGCTAGACAAGGGGGATGTCCATCCCACAGTCCGTAACTCCCCCGAGTGCCTGTTGGGTACCAGATGCCAGGAATGGCGGGGGAAGATGGCCCTTGCTGCTGTTTGCCACCTCTCATCCTGCATGTCCTTGCACATCCTGCACACCCCTGGGCACTTTAGTGACCTTTTCCTCGTATGTGGTGGTGACACTGAGACCCCATTACCTGTGCAGGGGGCATTTCCCTAGATGCCTGCATGTCCTGTGCACTGAGTGAATGGCAGCCCCTCCCACCCCCTGCAGAATTCCGTCCCTTCTGTCCTCATCTCTTCTTCTCTCTGCACAGTGGAGGGCCTGAAAGACCTGCTGGTAGGGCCTGGAGTGGAGCTGCTCTTGACACCCCGGGAACCATCCTTGCCCGTGGAACCAGATAGCGGTGGTAACACGAGTCCTGGAGTCACTGCCAGTGAGTGCCAGGGTAGGGGGCCGCGGCAGCACGTGGGAGGAGTTAAAGATAATGGGGTGGTACCAAGGTCTGAGTGGTGTCAGGGTGCTGGGGGAGCGAGGCCAGTGCATCATTTTCCCCTTCTCAGTAGATGGTGAGGCCAGAACCTTCAATGGATCCATTGAGCTCTGCAGAGCCGACTCAGACTCCAGCCAGAAGGTGGGTTTCGGGAGGTGTCAGGACTTAGCTAGAGGGTGGGAAATGGACTGCTGGCCTATAGACCCTTGACACAGCTATCAGGGACAGGCACCAGGGACTCGTGTGTCTGCTGATGCCCCATCCTTGCCCATTTCTGCAGGATCGAAATGGAAATCAGCTGAGATCTCCCCAGGAGGTGAGATGGGCTTGCGATGGTATGGGAGACTGAAAGAGGGGTTACTCTCAGATGAGAAACTGGAGCCCAGTTTGAAGGGGGGTGCTGTATACACCTCAAAATACCTGCAGTCTTATTGTCCCCACACCCACACTTATTCAACTTCTGGTCAGTTCTCCCATCCTGAAGCTTGGACTCTGTTCCCCCGCCCCTCCTCTGTCCTCAGGAAGCGTTGCAACGATTGGTCAATCTCTATGGACTTCTGCATGGCCTACAGGTCAGTGAGCCAGGCGCTCCAATGGGAATGGGAGAAGCCAGGCCAGAGCTGCCCACTTAGCTAGAGCAGAACCATCCTAACAGGCCTAAGCCTTCCTCTGATTCGAGTTCTATGGGACTCACAGCCTGGGCCCTGGGGAGTGAGGGACAGAAGAAATGGGATTCTGATACACCCCTTCATCTCCATTTCACCCCCAGGCGGCTGTGGCCCAGCAGGACACTTTGATGGAAGCCCGGTTCCCTGAGGGCCCCGAGCGGCGGGAGAAGCTGACCAGAGCCAATTCCCGGGATGGGGAGGCTGGCAGAGTCGTGGGTGTCCCTGCGGCTCCTGAAAAGCAGGCTACGGAACTGGCACTCCTGCAGCGGCAGCACGCGCTGTTGCAGGAGGAGCTGCGGCGCTGCCGGCGGCTCGGCGAGGAGCGTGCGACCGAGGCCGGCAGCCTAGAAGCCCGGCTCCGGGAGAGCGAGCAGGCCCGCGCCCTGCTGGAGCGGGAGGCCGAGGAGGCTCGCAGGCAGCTGGCCGCCTTAGGGCACACAGAACCCCCACTCGTGGCTGAGGCCCCCTGGGCCCGCCGGCCTCTGGATCCGCGGCGTCGGAGCCTCCCTGCTGGCGATGCCCTGTACTTGAGTTTCACACCCCCACAAGTAAGGACGCTTGAAGTAGTGAGCTAACCTGGGGTGGACATCAGGGTCCAGGAGAGAATCTGAGTGGAATTGGAGGCCAAATGAAGTCAGGCATTAGACTTGAAGGATATTAGGATACTGATGGGAGGGCTGAACAATTTTGACGGGTGCAGAAAGAAATCAGTCAGTGGTAGATGTACTGAGGGTCAGGTTTTCACACTGCTCATTCCTGGACCTCCTGCTTTTTCCGCCTGCTGTCCATAGCCCAGCCGAGGCCACGACCGCCTGGATTTGCCTGTGACTATTCGCTCCGTCCATCGACCCTTTGAGGATCGAGAGAGGCAGGAGCTGGGCAGCCCCGACGAGCGGCTGCAAGATAGCAGTGACCCAGACACCGGCAGCGAGGAGGAGGGTAGCAGCCGTCTGTCTCCACCCCACAGTCCGCGAGGTGAGGTCCTGGCGGAGACATGGCTTAGAAATGGGGTGCAACCTGGGCACAGACCTTTGGGCTGTAGTTTCTAAATGGAGCCTGCATCGGAAAGCCCAGGAATGTTTAGGATGGTCCCTAACCAACCACTGAGGTCCACAGTCACTCTTGAGACGGGCCCAGGGTGCTTCCTGTCTTGCCTCCTGGTAAACAGGGAGTGGATCTCTCAGAAGCAGAAAACATAGGGGCCTCTGCTCCAGGAGGTCCATGATTCCCAACCTTTTGAAGCAGAAATAGACTTTCAGAGTGAAAAAATGTCGAAGACCTCCAAGTTCTTATAGTTGGCTCAGGAAATACAAAATAACCCAAAGCTACTGTAACTTCATATAATACTCATCTTAAAATATATATTTTAATATTTTGTATCTTATTAACCACATTGTATCTTATATATTTATATTTAACAAGGTACCTAGGTATGGATCCATCATTTTGTGGACAGTTTTCCCATCACCCAGGGGTTACAGACCTCTGCCACCCCTCCCAGCTCTTTGAGCTGCTCAGCCCACAGACAGGGAGGCATCCGTGTAGGGGTTCAGCTGATCATAGGAGCCTCTGTTCACTCACTGACTTTGCCCCTTCCTCCTTCAGATTTCACCCGAATGCAGGACATCCCGGAAGAGACTGAGAGCCGAGATGGGGAGCCTGTAGCTTCCGAGAGCTAAGGGGGCCCCTCCCCCCACCCGGTGTCCCCTGAAGAACATTACTGAGGGAGGCAAACCTTGGGGACTCCAATCTGCCAATGATGAGAGAACATTTGAAAGAACTGCTTACTGTCCTTGCCAGCTCTTGGTATCCTTGGATACGTGGGGGCCATTTAGGAAGCTGGGGGAATTAGGCCACAGTGCCCCCTGGTGGCATGCAGTAGCTACACTGCAGATGCCGATTTTTCATGCCTTCTTCCCTCTACTTTAGGAAAATTTATTTATTTATTGTTTATTAGTTACGGAGGGAGAGGGGAGATTTAGAGGACCAGGGACATGGGAACCAAGCCATAGGGATCAGGGGGCCTTGTCCTTTAACACTACTGGGGTTTATTCAGGCTTAACCTTGCAGCTGCTGGGTTCTAGCCCTGACACCCCTCCTGAGCAACACCCATCTTTGAGGAGAGGCTGCAGCCATAAGACCCTACTGCCCCATCAGGAAGGGCTGTGGTCAGGGCCATGTCCCTCTCCCCTTCCCCTCAACCTCTTACTGCTGTTCTCCCTTCTCTCTGTCTTCTATGGAAACCCCAGGGACTTAACCTGGCTTCCTAGAGTTGATGGAATAGAGGTTGAGTTGGCCATAATGGTTTGTTGGGGGTGAAGGGAAAAACTCACAGGGACCAGAATAGATTTTTTTGTTGTTGTTTTCTTTTTTTTGTACCAAAGCCAACTGCACGTGTTTTATATTTTTAAGAGAAGATTGTAAGCAATTAGAAATTGCAGCCTTCTATCTCTAAATCTCTGAAGAACTTGAGGGATGAGGGGAGCTTGACTTCTCCACTCATCCATAGTAATGGGGGGACCCCAGTTCTGACCTCTTCCCCAGTCATTTGGAAAAACAGTTTTAGGGTGAGTTGGGAAATCTCTCCAAACCCTGACCTCACCCCCCACCTCAGCAACCATGACCTGAAACCTCAGTGTGAATTTGGGAGTTTTTCAGTGGATCCCCCACCCCCTGCCCAGTGGCCACCAGCCCCAGCCAGTTTTCTGCCAATTTGATTATTTTTAAAAAAGGAAAAAAAATAGAAAGTTGGGGGTGGGGGGATAAAGCAGGGAAAATTAAAGTCCTGGAACCCCAGGAAGTGCTGTCTGTTAATATCTGCGAGTTCTGAGGATGCTGGTGATGAGGACAGCCAGGGAGGGCCCTGTGTTCCTCCGAAAGGAGCCTCTTCCTCTCCCAGGAGGGGCAACTGCCTCCCTGAAGACCCAGGGCACTAACAGAAGAAATGGTGCCAACTGTTTTTGTTGTCATCCGTGATACTCACAAACACAAGGATAAAAATGAAGGGGCACTTAGGTCCCAGTGGCTGTTGAGGGGTTCCAATATTAAAAAACCTGTTTTCATCTCATTTGCATGCCGTGCTCAGAATTACATCAGCCTCTTGCCCCCGTCCTCCCCTTCTGCACAGTTGCAGTTCCGCTTAGCATCTCCCCTCAGATTCAGCCCTCACTGTACCCTTGTTCTTCACAGTGTCAGAATCCTGGGGTAACCTCTTTAAGACAGTTCCCCTCTCCCCTCATAGGAGCTGCTCACTTGCCCTTTGCATTTTGAGAGGCAGTGAGAGATTAGGTTTCGGTTCTTATTTTTGGTTAATTTTTTGCTTCCTGTTTTTGGTTAATAGCCTGCTCTGGGGCTGTGGGGGAGGGGGGCTAAGAGAGCCTAGCGTTGTATAAATGCTGGCAGAGTGCAGAGACCTCTGTTGGAGCCCATGGAGTAAGATGAGAAGAATGGGGCTCACAACCTCAGCTGGAAAGAGGAATTAAATCACATGGGGTGTGGGCAGGCTTGGGGGAGCAGCCAGCACCCTCCACTCCTGTAATTCTCCTCTATTGGCATCTGGCCTTGACAAGGTGCTTTCTCATCCATCACAGAATCTGTGAGGTAACAATTGTTCTCATTTTAGAGACAAGGAAACCAGGCTGCAAAGGGTTGCCAGGCCAGGAGGGCAGTCAGGGAAGGGCCAGTCCCAGCCGCAGTCCCCCACTTCCCCTCCTCAGTTGCTCTGCCGAAACACACCAGGGCGCCAAGTTTCCAACACACTGGCCCATGGCTCAGCAGCTGGGACCCCGCGCGGTACAGGCAGAGCAAGGGGATGTTGGCATCCAAAGACCACCAGAAAGGGAATGCAGGCTCCTGCAGTGTTCTCACAGGTCCAGTGAAGGGTGCTGGTCGGAAGGAAATGGGAACCTGGAGGCACAGAGCCCAGAGCTTGAGTTCGGAGAAGCCCTCGGCTCACAGGACAACTCTGCTGTCCCTCCTGCTGTCCCTGGACTGAAACCCCCTCCTCAGCCTCCATCCCAAAACATGACACGAATTTCTCTGACGTGACAGTTCCTCCAAGATTAATCCCTGTGTCACATCTCTCGCCAATCTGTCAGTTGTCCCCTCTCTGTTCCCATTTTTGGAAACAGTCTTACTGTCGGTCCTGCTGGCAGTTTCAAAGCTGTCGTCAGGCTTGTGCTGCAGATCCCAGCTTCTTGCCACGGTAGTGCCTCCCTTCCATTGCACCGTCCCCTCCATCTCCCATCCCTAAGGGGGGTGGTCTGCATGCATTCATTCACCTCTGACTTGGACCTGTTTAAACTTTGTCAATATTTACCTCCGGGTCCCATAAAACCCATAAAGCACTGATGCCCCCAGAGGAGCCAATATCCGGAGGCCCAGCAGGGCCATTGGAGGAGCTGCAGGGGGTGGGAAGAGGGGCACTTGAGTGGGGGAGGATTTTCCATCCAGAATTGGCTGGGAACAGATCTGGAGTTTTGATACCAGTTTAAACATTATCAAAGAGAGGAAATTAAACATCAAGAGGCTAATTAAATCTCTTCAGCATGGCTTAATATGTGAATTGGGTGACTTTAGAGCCTTTTCTGTTCAGCAACTGGATGGAGCTGGTGCAGGGGGGTGCCGCTTCCAGAGGTAGCTCCATACTCGGAAGGCGCTGTGCCCAGCTATTGCCCTGGGATCTTGAGTGGCCAGAGCCCTGGGTGACAAGACCTGTTAGAGCGTCGGGTGGGGCAATGGCGGTGGGAACTCCACGCCATGTCCCCTCTGCCACCTCCCTCCTTTCCAAGGGCTGCCCCCAACCTCGAAAGTCCCTTCTGATGGCTGACTGTTATCTTTGCTGTAAATCTATGGATGTGTGGATATAGAAACCAAAGGGGAACCCCTCTCCCTTTAGTGCACACCTTTAATAGGGACCACCCCCTCACTCATTTCCTTTTGTGACTTTAATTTCACTCCAGAACGTGTAAAAATTCCAGAAAAGATCTTCATGGTTCCCAATCCCTGTCTTCCAGTTACCCCTCTCATTTCCTCCTTTTTCTTATCTCTGTTTCCATTTTACATGGGGTGTGCGTGCGTGCCAAGTTGCTTCAGCCGTGTTCGACTCTTTGTGACCCTATGGACTGTAGCCCGCCAGGCTCCTCTGTCCATGGGATTCTCCAGGCAAGAACACTGGAGTGGGTGGCCATGCCCTCCTCCAGGGGACCTTCCCGACCCAGGGATCGAACTCGCATCTTTTAAGTTTCCTGCTTTGGCAGGTGGGTTCTTTACCACTAGTACCACCTGGTAAGCCCACGTGGAGTGTAAGAATAGCTATTCCAGGCACCATTAAATCCTTAGCAGCCCAACTTAAGTTGAGAAGACAGGTACAAAGAAGTATTTAACTTACTGAGGTCCCCCAGCTGGTTAGTGTCAGACGTAGGAGGTGAATCCAGGTGTTCTGACACCTGAGTTGATGCCCTGAGCTAAGAACGTGGGACAGCAGGAAGACTAACACCTCCTTCTGCACTTCCATCCTGGTATCCTGGTGGTGCAGTGGTGAAGAATCTGCGATTTTGATCCCTGGGTCAGGGAGATCCCCTGGAGAAGAAAGTGGCTACCCACTCCAGTATTATTACCTGGAAAATCCCATAAACAGAGGAGCCTGGTGGGCTGCAGTCCATGGGGTTGCAGAGTTGGACCCAACTGAGCACGCACACATCTGAACCTTCAGCCTCCTCTTCTCCCAACCCCTTTCTGAATCTCACCTCCCTATGACCCACCCATCTCCTTGGCTTGTCCTTATCTTCACTTCCTCCAAATCCTGATTTAAGGAGAGACAAGGTACTCCCAGCCAGCAGCAGGGGTTTGCACTCCAGGCTTGGCTGGAGATAGGGATCCGGCAAGATCCTGCACACAGCAGGGGGAACCACAGCTTTTGCCTCGGAGGTGTCTGTGGGCACCAAGTTTCTATGGGTGCTACGAGATGGTAAGAAGGTAGAGATGGCCAAGGGAAAAGGGCATTTTTGGCCTCAGCACCAGAGAAGGACAAGGGTACACCCCATTTGAGGTGGAGGGAAGATGGAGAGGACAGAGGGAGATAGTTACTGACCTATGACTCAATTAGTCTAGAACCCATAGGGAAATTTTCCTGGGAACTCTCACAGAAGGCAGAAAAGGGGAAAAGAATCCTTTTGGCCTCACTGACCTGGAGGTGGAACTGAGATGAAAGGTGCAGACATTTTGTGGATAATCCAGAGGTTTATTCTTAGATTCCCATTGCCACGTGGAGACTTGGGCTTGGTTGTACCCAGTCCTGACCTGGGCCCTGGCCGCCCGCCTTTCCCCACAAGCAGAGCTGGGAATCAAAGATCAGACTTTCCCTGAGGGCATTGTATCAAGGCAGAGAGGCCAACCTCTCTTTCCCTAGGATGCATGGATCCTGCACTTGGCAGATAACCAGAAAGAGGAGGGGGTTTAACTTGCTCCCTTCACCCAGGTGTCCCTTTGTCCAGGTTGGTGAGCATGGTAGAAAGGCCACCCTCCTGAGGGGTGCTCTCCATCCACCGCCTGCCCATTTCCTTTAGGGCCACCTGTTCCACCCAGCCCCGACCCTGGGGCCGCAGCCTTGCTCGCAGCTCCCTGAAGGCGTCTGCCAGGGCCCGCCGGGGCTCCCGCCTGAGAAGGCAGTACAGCACGG